GGCCGCGCGCGCCTCCCGCCACCCCGAGCGCGCCCCGCGCCGGCGCGCGCCGCTTCCTGGTTCCGCCCGGCGCGCGTTCGCAAGCCCCACGGTCTCCTGCACCCGCTCTGCAGCCGCCCTGCAGGGGCCCGGATACCCCTCCGCGCACCCTAAGTGGCTGCACGCTCCGGGAGGCCGGTGCAGTGCGTAGCCCCTTGTTGCCGAGGTCGGGTGGGTTCTCCACTCGGCTCCCCGGTCAGGTCTCACGGGCCACGAGCACATGTTGCTTTGCTTGGTTAGGGTTGACCACCACTAGCAGGGCTCTGGCCAGACTGCTGTGGTCGCGTGGATTGCCCCCCGCCCTTCGCTGCCCGCCCACCTCCTTTCCCCAGGGCTGAGGCCCGCGTTCCGGGTCCTGTCCCTCTCTGGCCGAGGTCAGAAGTCCGTTGCTGGCCCATCAATAATTATCCCGGGTTTGCTCCCTGGAGGGCGTTTCAGCCAGGCTCCTGCCGCCACTGCAGGAGTTTACATTCACTCAGGCCCACTGGATTGGTCCACTGTTCCAGAGTGAATCTATGATGGACAGGGGCGTCTGACACCATTTCCCTCCCAGGGGAACCTTGCTGGCTCCCACCAGTCAGAGCTACAGGAGGAGCTGACTCCCCTATTCAAAGAAGGAAGCATAAGCAGAATCACCTCTGTAGGATCCAGGGGAACGAGGTCTCTGAGACCCTTTTCTGTGTAATGGGGAGGGGATGCGATGTCTGAGGAGGCAACCTGAGTCATCCACTCGCCTCGCCTCTGACTACGTCTCTGGAGCTAGCCAACGGTTTCCCTGGCAACCCTCCAAGGGCTAGCACCAAAGCAAGGCATATCAGATCTCCAGAACCCCAGCTGCAGGTGCACAAGGAGCAGAGGGACCCTACACATACACTCACAGCTTCCCTACCCTACAGTCTGAACATCTTTATGTCCAGGGATGAACAAGATCTGCAAGACCCCAAGTTCTTCCATAATCCTCCTTTGGCAGCGCTTCCCAGAAGCCGTCCCTTCGTCTCCAGAATAACACCAACCACGAAGATCTTTGTGTCTGTAGCTGATCACAAAGGCCTTCTCCCTTACCCAGGCTCCTGCTTCTATTCCACATTCTGGACCAACACCTGGCACAGTGCTTGGAGCTGGAGCTGGAGCTGGAGCAGGAAGACAAGCCTGAGCAGGAAGCTGGACGGAAACACCAGCCCTGAGCTCTCTGACAGTCACAGTCCGTGATGTTTGGACATTTGGGCATACCACACTTCTCTTCCTTGTAAGCTTTCATACCAGCGCACATGCTGTTCTCTCTGCCTGGAATGTCCTCCTGCCCTCTTGATGTCTGTCCTTCGGTGACACTTACTCCTTGCAGTATTAACCTCTCCCTTCCTGTTGCCCACCACACATTTATGCCTCTATTATGGCACCTCTCGTGTTGTAGGACTGTTTGTTTACATGTCTCTCTATCCCCAATGGCAGACACAGGATCCCATTCCCCCTAAAACCCCACCTCATGCCCAGCCCAGAGCAGACACCCAATAAATATTTGAGGAACAAACCCTACGCTCTAGGAATAGAAATGGACACCAGGAGGATTGTGTAGTAATTAAGAGCACAGAGTCTAAAACCAGGCTCACTGTCAACTCCTTGAGCCGTGTGACCTCGAGCAAGCTTTTTGCCTCCATCTCCATAGTGTAATATAGTGATAGTAACAGGACCTACCTCCTTGCATTATGGTGAGAATTAAGTGAGTTAATACATATAAAGTGCTTCCAACACTGTACAGCACTGTAGAGCTGTTAACTTGCATTATTGTTTTTAGTAACAGCTAAGATTTATACCCCTCTTCCTAGGACTGGTCAGAACTAGGACTCAGTCCAGCTGCCTCAGCTGCTGTGCTGCAGGGTGCTAGTTTGAATGCCTTGGAGGATGGGGCAGGGACAGTTCTTTATTCTTCATCTCCTAGCACATCTCTGACTGACCACTAGGCACCAAGCTAGAGCTGGCTGGCTGTGTGCACAGACACAAAGGACGTAATGTTCTGGGTGATTACCTCAGCAAAACAAGAATGTTGTCAACCTGAGATGGGACGAAAGGTCTGACACCTAACCTCTCCCTACTTGCTCATTCAGATGAGGTGAGACCCCCTTCTCCTGGGCCTCAGGGACATAGTCCCCTAAGTTGAGGGGCTACCAGACTGAGACATGACACACAAGGAGTCCTAGAAGGAAAAACTGAATGGGAAGTTAGGATCCAGAAAAACCCTACAGAGAACCCACATAGAAAGGTCCCAGAGGCATACGTGCAGATGCAGAGATGTCCACAGGAGAGAGAGTTGGTGTCATCTCCTAGCCCACACTGGCCTGGCCCAGAAGAGAAAGGCTTGAAAGAGTTTGGAAGTCTGGTGGGCAGCCTTGTCCATACCTCTGGCCTACTTTCAACCAGCTTGACTCCAGCCTACCTCCCTCGCTCTCATGGACAGGCATGTGGCTGCCACAAAGAACAGGTCCCCCACTTCACATCCTCCCCCAGCTCTGCCCAGACACAGGGAGATCATGGGGACATTTTCTGGAAACGTAATTGGAACCATAACCATGACCCTCTCTAGGCAGAGACCCACACTCATCTACCTTTCCTCTCCAGACCTCTCCGAATCCCAGGAATCAGGTTGGCCCTGGAGGACCACTGGCCACACAGTCGCCAAGGAAGGACACCCCGTAGCAGCTTCCCGTCTTCCATAGGGGTATGATTCCTCCCTATTAAGTAAGTACAGACCCTTGGAGCCATGGAGAGGAGGCATCAGATACTCAACAGACAGGAAGGCAGAGACCCCAGACTTCCAGGGCCTCAGACTGGAGGTTTGTCACAGTCAATGGTTCAGGAGGTGCTCTGTGGGTGCCAGGGCTTACTTCTGCCAGAGCGTGGGTGGTGAAAACAGCAGAGTTTTATAGTTAGATCTGGTTCCAAAACCCAGCTCTGCCAACCTACCAGTTGTGTGACCTTAGTCAAAGTACTTGACACCTCTGAGGGACTCAGTTTCCCTCATGTGTAAGTCATAGGAGCTAAAATCTAGGATATGTTTGTAAATGCATAGCATCTTTCTGGGAGTACACATAAGACCGTAGTAACTGTGGTTGCCCCTGGGGAGGGGACCTGGGGGACAGGAAACGAGGCTAACTTTCACCATATATCCTTTTGAATCTTTGGAATTTTGTACCCTATGCTGTACTACCTATTAAAACAGTAGGGAAATTTACTTTTTGAAAAGAACAAAGTAGAACGAGAGCACGTTTATGAAAGTAACTAAGCATCATGTATGGCTTGCAGAAGGTACTTGATAAAAGATTTTTTTTCTTTCTTTCCCTCAGCCTAACCCCAGCCAGTTTGCTGGGCCAGGAGGAAGTGGGCATGGGGGTGGAGTTAGGGGAGGGGGTGTGAGTAATGGATGTGCAGGTCCTGGCAGGAATTGCCACCTGGAGATTCTTACATACTCTCCGTTTGTCTTATTCCTGTATGCCTCACCTGTCTGGTCTCCCTTCCAGCCAGAGCTAAGGGGGTGGCTCTCTGCAAAGCCCCAGGGACCGCCCCCCCACACACACACACACTGCCTCCTGAGACACAATCACTGTGCCCTCTCCACCCAGAGTCCAGGGGCAATGCTGCATTATCCAGAGAGGGCAGGGCTGGCAGAGGAGGGAACAGATTATCACCCCAGCCACTATTCTGCTGGCTTACCAGGCAGTTTAAGAACTCAAAAGTCAGCCCAGTACCAGGCAAAGATGAGGCTACTGTTGACTGCTGCCCTGGGCAGAAAAACAGGTCACTAGGACTAGAGTAGGCAGAGGCCAGGGCAGTGGAGAAGAGAACCTCTGGGCGCTGTGCGTCAGGATGTGTGAGAGCAAAACAAGGATCTGCGCTAGTGCAAGGAAACCCCTGAACCGTCAGAGGTTGGGGTAGCCCTGTGCTGTTTCACAAAGCTTCATTACTCCAAAAAATATTTATGAAGCCACTATTATGTACCAAGCAGTGGGACACACCCTTACGGCCACTAGTTAGAGCCATAAGAAGAGGCCTACAATACAGGTAGAACTGCGAAGCGAGAGGAATGCAGAGGAGAAAATGCCTACGTCTCCTGGCCAAGGTGTCTGAGTACCTATGATGTGCTAGGCACTGGAGTGAGTCTTCGCAGCCATCCTGGGATGTGGGTCTTGCTGTGCTCCTTTTATGAAGGAGGCCTCTCAGCTCAGAGAGGCAGACTCAGGTGCCCAGGATGACACAACAGAGGCAGGGTTTGCACCAGGTCTTTAGGACTCCAAGACCTGTGTGTTTTCCTATGTGCCACGCTGAACCTATGAAAGGCGAGGAGGACATCACCAGGTGGCCAAGGGAGGAATGACATTCCAAGTAGGTGGAATGGAGGGGCAAAGGCTTGGAGTTGAGAGAGGCCAGTGCATGGGGGGAACAGCATGGCTGAAGCCCAGAGTGAAAGTAAAGGGAAAGCCCATGCTTGTGTGCCATCGCAGCAGCAAATGGACGTGTAGCCAGCCAGTGAGGAGCCAGTGAGGAGGGGATGGGGCATTGGCCCTTTCTTCATTTGGGCTTCATATCCCCCACTTGCTCCTGGGGTTGGGGAGCTTATTTTTGAGGCTTGGAGTTAGAGGAGACGGCAGGGAAGATGTGGGTAGGACGCTGCAGTAAGAAACCAGGGAACAATGAGAAACAGAGACAGGGAGAAAGGAACCCCCTCCAGTCATAACAAAGGAAAGTGGCAAGTGGTGGGGGACGGCAGGGAAGGGGATGCAAGGCCTCTCCCACACAACCCCCAGAGGGCTTGAGGTCGGAGACTGGGCTGGCGGAGACACAAAAGCTTTCCTGTTGGCTGAGGAGGAGAAACCAGCTCAGTGGGAAGAGGGGCCTGGTAGTCATTGTGGATGAGGATGGGAGCCAGCTCAGAACAGCGACCATGCCCACTCAACTGCCCCGCTCTGTGCCCGTGGCCCACCTCTCTCTCAACAGTCTCTGAGTCTACCCCTGATAAGGGTGGGCTCCTCCCTGCCCTCCTGATGAGGTAGGAAATGTGCGCTCATTTCAGATTTTGCACACCTCCACTCCCACCCTACCCCCATCCCCATTCTACCCCTACCCCCACCCTACCCCAGGTCATGCCAGCAGGTGGACAGGGCTACTGGGCAAAGGAAGGCAGGATTTCCCCCTTCCACCCACCCTGTCAGTCCCATACCCCTCCCCTTACTCTATTCCCAGAAACAGAGGACAGCCGCTATGCCTCAGGCGGGATAGCCTTGTGTTTGTTCTCTGGGTGACTTCACTGTAAATTGACTTCCCTGAAGAGGGGTAGAGAACAGGGGACAGAGGCAGGAAGGGGGAACAGGCTTCACCCAGGACCCAGAAGCTCCTACCCATGCCCCAAATTCACACAGAATTCCTCCCCATGTGCACTCACAGCCCATCTTTTGGTCCTGCTCTGTCTTCATGGACAAGAATGGGGGCAGCATTTCTACAGGGAGGCACTAGTGTGAGGAGACCCGGGAGAGGCAGGGACATTGGTCTTGGGGGTTCGGTATATGCTGAGCATGGGCCTGTGGCCCCCTTCCAGGTGCCTTGGGGGTGGGAGCTGGAGTGGAGGTGGACAGTGCCAGCAGAGGCAAGGTTGGGGTGAAACAGGCCATTTCAGAGCCCAAGGGCTTCAGCTCTCCCCTCTCTGCTGGACACAGAGATCCTTCCTGGATTGCCTCCAGCTTTCTTGGAAAGGCTCTTCACCTCCACCTGACCTCCCCTCTGGCTCCCACACAACAGGAACTCTCCTTGAAGAAGCGACTTGCAGCAGAGGAAACAAAGGCATCTCTGTACAATCTGCCTCTGCCACCGAGGAATGGTTAGGTCAAGATGACCGTAATCTATTCTCCCTGGGCATCATCAGGGCCTTCGCCACTAACCTGGTGTCCAAGGGCAGGGCAGAAACAGGACTTGGGAAAATTCTTCCCTTCCCCCATAAACTCAAACCAACACACAGGTCACACTGCCTCGTTCCATAGAGCAGGAGCATGGGCTGACTTGGAGATGGGCAGGCCACGTGGAGTGCCACAGAACAATTATGGGCTAGGCCAGTCAAAGGAGACATCTTCACTCTTCGGATGTGTGCTGGAGTTAGCAGAAGTGAAGACCCTGGCACAGGGCCAGGGAACTTGGGTCCTTGAGCCAGCTGTGCACTTACTGGCCAGATAGCAGTGGACAGGTTTCTTTCCTAGACTACTCAAAGGGGATGATTCTGGCCCTGCCTACCTTCCAGGTGGTTCCAGTGATGAGTTGAGTTGAAGAATGCAACCATGTTGGTACACAAATGTGCCATGATTCAGGATATGTGCATGATGTGCTAACTACAGACTAAGCTAGGAATCGTTATTACGCCTAATAAAATATGGTCAGTCTTCTTTGGGGGAATGTATTCCCATAAAACTTTTTAAAAATCCTTCCTTATTCCCCATGTAATGCTGCAACTTGGAATTGGGGCTGATGGGCAGTTAGGGGAGGCCAGCCTGGGACCCCAGCTCAGCCCAGACCATAGGTAGTTTCTGATCTTTCTGAACCCCATTCCTTAGCCCTCAGTTTTCTCCTCTATAGTGTGGGTCCCTAAAACCGCTAGGGTGCTTTGTGGTGAGAAATAGCAGAGACCAAACCAGGGGACTGAAAGCAAAAAGAAACCCCAAATTTGACATTTCCGGGTAGTTGTGTTATCCGGAGCTGTGACCACAGTCACCTCTGCCCCCAACCCAACTCTGACACCCTTCCCTCCTCCACTCCTTTGGGTGGCCTTTGCCTATCCTGGGAAAGCACCAAAGCGCCTACCTTTCCCACTGCGCCTCAAAGGGAGAACAGAGGCACAAAGAAATGGAGAGAAACCCAGACAGAATTAAATGGAGAACCAGACAAAGACCGAGAGAGAAAGAACCAAAAGGAGGAGAATCAAAAAACAAGAGGAGGAAACGTGCAATGAGGACACTGCGATTCAGAGCTTCACAGTCTGAGAGGCCAACTGGGAAGAGCCAGAGGTCAGCCAGGAAAACAGCTGCCACCACTGGGCACAAGGTGGTGGTGGAGGGTAGAGGAGGGCTCTGAAGGCAATGGGGCACATCTTTGTAGGCCAACCTCTCCAGTTTTGTTCACTGGCACCTCAATGCTAGCTTTTTAAGGACCCAGAACTCCCCATCCCCTAGCCAAGCCCAGCCCAACCCAGCCAGATGTTCAGTAGGTAGGGCTGCCAGCTGGAGCAGCAGGCCCCTTCAGGCCCTGGGGAGGAGGCTGGAGAAGCTGCTGCCTGGAAGTGGGCAGGCAGAGCCCCCACTCTGGAGCCGGCACCCCCATATCACCCTCTCCAGATGCCCAGGGGTGGGTGCATGGCAAGAGTGGTCCTCTGCCCTCCAGATGTGACTCAGAGGACTTGGAAATCCAAGGAATCTGCCCCCACTGACTGTGACTTACCCACCTGCTCAAAGTGAGGGTCTGGAAGGCACAGGTGCCAAGCTGGGCCTACCCTCCCTGTGGCAATGGGTTTGGATCTGCCACTGACAAGCTGTGTGACACTGGCCAAGTCACTTCCCCTCTCCAGCCTCTGTTTCCCCATTTGTAAGATCATCTTTATGATTGTTTCCAGCGATGACACTTGCCTCTCATTACAGGTGACCCCCTAGCTCTGTGCGTCTGACCCTCCCCTGCCAAAGCCATTGCACAGGGTGGGGAGAGAAGGGAGGAGGAGGCCTTGTGCTTCCTCCTCCCTAGGGCTCCCCTGTGGAACATCTAACGAGCAAGCTTTCCTCAATCCTTTGCACACTCCTTTACCGTTTTCAATTCCTTTCCTCGTGATCCTGCCAACTAAGACTGTGACCAGACCTGGAAGTGTGTGTGTAGGACCCAGGCATTCCAGCTTCTGCAGTGTTAAACTTCGGTTTTTCTCTGAAGTAAAAAGAACCAAAGTGGGGAGGGAGTGAGGGGCAAGAAGGGGGGAGGGAGTGGAGGGGAGAAAGAAATGGAGAGAAAATGGCAAATCCAGGAAGGCATTAGGCATGGAGGGAGGGAGAGAGAAATGATCCCCCCCCAGGACAGAAGTCTTGGCCCAGCTGGGCTGCGAGTGGGCAGCCAGGCTGGCCCCTCCCTTGGTGGTGCCAATACCAGCTGCCAGGCAGAAGGAGGCCCAGAGGAGAAGGAAGCTGGGCAAAGGGGATGGAAGGCTTCCAGTCCAGCCTTGCCCAACTCTGCAGGCCCCTTCTGGGGCTCTCAGGGAGGGGCTGTGACCCAGGCAAGGCGCAGAGAGGGTGTTCCCTGCTCCGACAAGGCCTATCTGCAGTCCTGAGCTTGTGAGGATTCAAGACAGCCCTCCTTAGACCTTTCTGAAGGTAAGAGCAGCCTCAGTTGTGACTGGGCTTAGGGAGAGGAGGGGCAGGGTCGTTTATGGACCATAGTCTGACAACTGTGTGATGCTGGGCAAGCCCCTTCCTCTCCCTGGACTTCCATTTCTTATCTGCAAAATCTCGGGGGGGTTCCAAACATATGACTGCTAAGGTTCTTTTCTGTTTCAACTGCAGAGGGTGAGTGCACAGTGGTGGGAGTAATGGAAGGAGGGGAAGTGGGGCCCTGGCGGTGAGCTGGCTTCTCTGGAATCCCCAGTCTTTCCCCTCCCTACGGCTTTGCCTCTGAAGTTACAAAAGCTGCGTCTGCAACCCACAGACACACACGCACACACATTTATTTTTTTGAATTGAGAGCCTTGAAAGATGATAAACGCCAGAGCTGGAAGGCATCTCCAGCTAGTCCAACTCTTCCTCCCTCCCTTTTTACAGATGAGAAAACTGAGGCCCTGGTTTGGGATTTCCAGAGCCCGGGTTTTCCCCCGCCCTCCCACCCCCATTCCCCGGCCACTCCTGCCCTTCTGGTCCGCCACAGTCCGGGGCCGCAGGCGAGGGCCTCCTGGGACTCCCGGGGGACCCCGCCGTCGGGGCAACCTCCACGCCCGGCGCCGCCCAGCCTCACCGCGCGGGTCCCGGCAGCGGCCGCCGCTGCGCATTCGCCGGGGAGCCAGCGACCGAGGGCGGAGGCGGGGAGGGAGCGACAGAGGCTGGGAGGGGTGTTGGCGAGAGCTCGCGCGCTGTGTATGGTCTATCGGAGGCAGCTGACCTTTGAGGAGGAAATCGCTGCTCTCTGCTCCTTCCTGTAGTAACAGCCGTCGCCGCCGCCGCCAGGAGCCCGGGCCGGGAGCTAGAGCCACGGGCGCAGAGCCTGCCCCGCAGCAGGACAGCTCCGCGCCACCAGGTGGGTGGCCGGGCAGAGCGTCCAGGGCGGCGAGCGCGGAGACGGTGAACACGGCTCCTGCTCCGGCCTCACGCCCCGAGACCCGGAGCTCGACGGCCGGGCGGGGTGCAGGGAACGGTCCACGCGAGGGAGTTTCGGCGCCGCGCGGACGAGGGACAAGGGACACGGATGGAGGGAGGGCGCCGTGGGTGGGCGCCGTCCTCGCCTGCAGTGGGCAGGGGGCGCTGTCGGGCTGGACAGTGGGAGACCATGGGGCACAGTTGCCGGGCGCCACCGATGAGAGGGTGCGTCTGTCTCCCCAACCTTCTCTCTTTAACAACCCTAGCCACGTGCCCGCAGGCACCCAGCCCGTCCAGTGGGAGCCGTCAGTGGCATAACTTCGGGCTGGAATAGCCCCTCTTATCAGAAACTGGGACTCGGGTTTAGAGGCAGGGTAGGGGGATTCTTGCAGCCCTCTCCAGAGGGCCGTGGGCCTCTGCCGTCGAGTTTCTCTTTCAGTTTCTAGCCGTCCCCCCTTCTGGGGAAGCCCCGGTGGGGCGAGGGGAGAGGAAGAGGAGGAGGGCACCTGGCTTTCGAGAGCCCCTCCCCAAGCCTCAGCGGGTTCCTTGTTGGAGGGCTGGGCGGCCTTCCCCTCCTCACGATCTTTCTTCCCGCACAGGAAAGCGTGTCTGTGGGAAGGGAGGGGCCTGGCCTGACTGCGGTCCGGGGATGGGTGGGCATGGTAGGGCCAGGGTAGGCCCAGCCCGCGCCCTGCTGAGGAGGCTCCTACTCAGCCCTCTGCTCGCCCTAGGTGAACGGACATGGCGGGCTGGATCCAAGCCCAGCAGCTGCAGGGAGATGCGCTGCGCCAGATGCAGGTGCTGTATGGGCAGCACTTCCCCATCGAGGTCCGGCACTACTTAGCGCAGTGGATCGAGAGCCAGCCGTGGTAGGTGCCCTTGCCTTTTCCCGCGGGTCCTTACCATCGGGGCCCCTTGGCCTTTAGGTCTGTTTGTGGTTTGGTGTGATTCGGTCCTGTCTGTCCCTCGCTGTGAGGAAGGGACCGTGTTCCTGGGAAAGGGGAACAGGGAAATGGGAGTCTGGGAGGGGACAGGGGATGTTTCTAGACTCTGATGCCTGTGGAAATGCCAGGAAGAAGTCTTGTGAGCTCTGAAGCACCTTTAGTCACGAGCCTGGGATTTCCATGTCCTCTTGGTGCTTGACTTCCTTGCCCAGGAGGCACCACAGTAGGCTTCTCTCCCTTACCTTGCCCCCAAGGGATGCCATTGACCCGGAAAATCCCCAGGACCAAGCCCAGGCCACCCAGCTCCTGGAGGGCCTGGTGCAGGAGCTGCAGAAGAAGGCAGAGCACCAAGTCGGGGAAGATGGGTTCTTACTGAAGATCAAGCTGGGGCACTATGCCACGCAGCTCCAGGTGGGTGTGAACTCCGGGTCATCTGCAGGGAAGTACTGTCTGCCTTCTTCTAGCATCAAAACCCCTGGCTTTTCCCCCCTGGCTTGGCCACTGACTCACCATGTGACCCTGAGCTTACCAGCAACTTTTCTGTGCTTCCCGCCCCCGCCCTGCCCTCCCGCCCCCTCTTTCTAAATCAGACCTGTGGGATTCCTTTAGCATATTACAAAACAAAGGGTGGGCTGTGTTTGTCTCCAAGAAAAATGGCAATCTGGATAGATCAAGCAGAAGGGATGGAGGTAGACTGAGTCAAGATTCCTTTATTGGAGAAAGGAAGACTGACAGATTCTAGAAACAAGGGAATGAGGCAACCAGACATCCCTTTTGGGGCTCTTTTGGTAGGAGAGCTGCTAAACTGGGGTGGGAGAAGAGCAGAACTGACCTGAAGGCAGGAGCTGTATTAGGGTTTAGATGTAAGATGCAGCCTCTCCTTCACATGGGAGGTGGGGGGAAGGAGTATAGGGGAGGGAGGAAGATTTTGTGGAAGCAGGAAAGGGGTGTGGGTGGTAATCACAGTCAAGCATTAACTGGCATTCACTTGTATTTCTTAGAGAGTCCTTCTTAAATACAAGCATCAGAGTGCCGGGAATAAAAAGTCCATCCCAGAAAAAGGAGGAAACAGGAAAAAGCTGGGGGAAAGAGGGAAGCAGAATAGGAACCCAAGACAGGAATATGGTGGAAAGTACCTTGACCTCAGCATTAGATACCCTGAGTCTTGATTCATCTGCTCACTCACTTGTTTGCCTCTGGATAAGTATTTAACCTCTCTGAGCATCAGTTTTCTCATCTGTGAAACGGGGATCATTGTTTCCGCTTATGTTGTAGGGCTTCTGTGATGTGAAAGTAAAAGGAAATGGTAGACTGGAAGTATTTTGTAAACTGTGGGTTTCTAACGCACTGCAAATCAAATGAAGACCTGGGAGGGGAAATCAAGTCAAGGAGAGACAGAGGTGTCTGGTGACAATTCCTCAGACTTCCCAGGGAAAACTGAGGCAGGGGCTGGAGGCCAGGAAGGGGTGAGCATGGCACTGCAACAGGCATGGTGGGTGCAGAGGGTGGCCACTGGTAGCTGCCCTTGGATTCTTTCAGAACACGTATGACCGCTGCCCCATGGAGCTGGTCCGCTGCATCCGGCACATTCTGTACAATGAGCAGAGGCTGGTCCGGGAAGCCAACAATGTAAGTGTCCCATGGGTGTGGGGAGAGGAGTTGGGAAGGCCTGCTACATGTATTTCTCTCCAGACACAACTGTATTTTATAAATACTGGCACGAGAGAGCACCAAAGAAATAAGAGACATGAGCAGATGTGAGGGGCAATGTTATGTGCAGGTATAGAGTGACCCCGCCCCGCCGCCCTGGCTTCAATTAAGTCAGTCCCTGGCTCTACTCCTAACTAGCTGTGTGACTTGAATAAGTTAATTAACCTCTCTGAGCCTCTGTTTCTTTGATTATAAGAAGGGGTAGTAATAGTACCTACCTTGCAGGATTATTGTGAGCATTAAATGAGATACTGTGTAGGCTAGGAAAAGATAAAAAGACCGATGAAACAAAAGAGAAAGCTGTAAATACACACACACACACACACACACACACACACACACACACACACACACAGAGGAAACTCAATCTCTGTCAGAGATGGCCTTACAAACCACCAGAGAAAAGATTTGTCATTCAATAAGTGGGGTGGGGGCCAAAATAAACATTCTCTGGTGGAGTCTGTGAGGAGAAACAAAACCAAAGTCTGTGTCAGAAGAACTAACCCAGGCAAGCTCAGAGAAGAGAGGCCCAGGGAGACAGAACAGGAACTAATCCCCCTTGCTCTAAAATCTTAAAGGCATTAAACATCTGCTTGGACGATGGTACAAATGTTACATCATCTGCAATAAAGCAAAATGACTTTCATAAAATGATATCACACAGGTAAAGACCACAGAATAGTGCCTGGAGCACAGGTCACATTCATTTGTTGTTGTGGACACTGATTTCAGGAATCTGGCAGTTCATTCAGTAAACATTTATTGAGGTCCTGCGGTATATCTGACCCTGGGCTAGGATTGGAGAAACAGATATAGGCCTGGCCCCTCCTGAAAGGAATTCAGGTGATGATAGACTCGTTAGAGGTGTGCTGAGTGCTAAGGGGGCATATGTGGGAAAAGTACCCAGCTCAGATTGGGGCAGGCTGACAGAGGGGTGTCCTGAGGAAACGGAGGTCCGAACTACAGTGGAGAAAGAAGTAACAACGGTGTTGTGAGGGTATGAGCCACCTCATCACATTTGAAGACTTGCAGGTAGTCAATGCAACCAGGGAGAAGGGAGACAAGTGGGGAGCCCCGATAGGTAAAGCCAGAGAGGAGGCAGAAGCCAGGTCACAGGGTCTTCTGGGACAACTCTTGGGTCCCTTGACTTGTTGCAATCACAGAGCTATCTGTAAATGTACAAATGAATTGGGCTCCAATTAAGAAATACATATCTGTGGCACAGATGCTGTCATGGCTGGGGGGAGAGGGGGAGTCATTTCTTCTCCCAGCCATTGAGGTGTTCTTGGACAGCTCTAGGGATTTTAGTCGTTCACAAGACAGACGAGGCCCTAGCACTTAGGGGGCTCACATTTAGGGGCTCACATCCTAGTACAGGGGCAGGCACAGAAGAAAAAGTAAACCCAAGAACTAGACACTATCAGACAAGGGTGGTGCTATTTCAAATTGGCCCTTTCGAGAAGGCCACCCTGAAAAGATGCCAGTTGAAGTGTCAGCCTCAGGAAGATTTGGTGCCAGAATGTTCCAGAGTGATGGAACAAGTGCAAAGGCCTTAAGGCAGGAACATGCTGTGTGTTCAAGGAACAGAAAGTAGCTGGTGTGCTTAGGCAGCAGTGGAACTGGGTGTGGAGGTAAGCAGAAGCTATCGGCTAGGGCAGTGGAGGCTGTGGGAAGGAGTTTGGATTTTATTCTGAGAACAGTTTGTTAGAAAAGCCCTGAAGACTTGTGTGTTCCCCAAGCCTTGTTCCCCACTCTGTCCCCAGCACCTAGCCTAGTCCGTGGCGTGGGATTCGCGAAAGAATGTGGAATGAGGGGTCATCACCATTAGTAGGAAAACTCAGGTGACTCCTGGACATGAGGGGTTTTAGTGTCTCTGAAGGGAATTGGATGGACCCTGTTTGGAATACTCTGGTGGAGGCCAGAACTGCAGGAGAAGTTTCTGCTATGCTTTGTGAAGGTGCCAGGTCACCTGTTTCTCCTCCTTTCCCTCTACACCAGTTCTCACAAATGACATTTGTAATTCCTCTGACCCAAACTTTAGCTTTTGGGGTTTCAGCCCAGTTAGAGGTGCTCCGTTGGCTTTTCCTTGGGATTCAGGCCTGAGGTTTTCTCCCATCCTCCCTGCCCACCTCACTGCTGCCTGCGCTCTCCCCCATCTGTCTCCAGGGTACCTCTCCTGCTGGGATCCTGGTTGATGCCATGTCCCAAAAACATCTTCAGATCAACCAGACTTTTGAGGAGCTGCGACTGGTCACTCAGGACACAGAGAGTGAACTGAAGAAGTTGCAGCAGACTCAAGAGTACTTCATCATCCAGTATCAGGAGAATCTGAGGATCCAGGGTGAGGCCACTATAGCATGGGCGGTGTGTGTTGCGAGGATAGGAATGGGGACCACTTTGTGAGCTCCTGCAGGGTTGGGGCTAGGTTAGTATCTATCTCCCCAGAACCTTTCCAAAGCCTGGGAGGAGCGATGGAACCCCTGCTCTGCACCAGCTTCTGGGCGAAGCCCTTTGCATGCATTATTCAGTTCAACCTTTAACAGCTCTAGGAAGCAGGTAGTTGTATTATCCCTTTTGCAGGTGGTAAAACTGAGGTTCAAAGAAAACAAGAAACTAGGCCTGGGTTGCTTGTTAAGTTGCAGAACTGGATCTCAACTAGAGATGTGTCATAAAATCCCTGTACTTTATTAACCAATATTCTCTCCCCAATAGTAGGTATTCAGTGAATAGCTCAATGAATGAATGAATGAATGAATGAATGAATGAATATGGACAAAGTGTTCCCCAATCAGAGGGACAGTCCCCTGGTTGATCCAGGCTAGAGAGAGGTGGAAACTCCAGGAATGACCCTTCTTGAGCTTCCCTGATAGGAAAGGGAGCTGGAGGGAGGCGGTGACAGTGGAAAATTCTCCTGTCTCCTGGGTCTGTAGTTTGCCAATGGCTGCTGTGATCAGGATGTGGGGAACGACAAATTATCTCAAAGGGAATTAATCCCAGGTGCAATCTGAGGAGTTTTGAAACATGGCCCATCTTCCTCCCGGTCCAAACTGACCTCAGAGCCGCACCACTCCATCCTAGTGAGAACAGGGAGCGTCAAGGTGCCTTTTCCTTCGTGCTGCTTTTTCTGGCTTCTTCAGGTAGAATCTTAGGTCATTGATTTTAGACCTTTCTTCTTTTTAGTATATATATATATGTGTGTGTGTGTGTGTGTGTGTGTATATATATACACATATACACACACATATATATATGTATATATATATTTCATATTTCAAAAGTATGAAATATATATGTATATGTATTTCAGAGCTATAAATTTCCAGCTAAACATTGTTTTAGCTGCAGTTCATGGTTTTGGATATGCTGTATATTCATTATCATTCAGATTGAAGTATTTTCTAATTTCTCTTCTGATTCTTTTACCCATACATTTAGAAGTATATCGTTTAATTTCCAAATATTTGTTTTTTCCTAGATGTCATATCCTTATTGATTTCATTTTCACTTCATTATTGAATTCCATTGTTGTCGGAGAACATACTCCGTATGATCTCAATTTTTAAAAATGTATTGAGACTCGTTCTATGACCCAGCATGTGCTCAATCTTGGTGAATGTATCTGGTGAACTTGAAAAGAACATATTGGGTTGTCGGAAAAGTCATGACGCATTTTTGCAATGAAAAACATAGAGAAAATACGTCATGACTTTTCCGACAACCCAATATTTTCTACAATGTTTTATTCAAAAGCTGTAATAATAAATTCAATAATGTTAATAAATATAACATAATATTGTATATTATATGTAAATATAGCATATATTTTATAGCAAAATAAATATATTTATAGCAAAATATATGCTATAAATATTTACATATAATATACAATATTATGTGTATAATATGTATAACTGTATATTTATATATCGTATATTATGTAATATTATATAAAATAGATATTTAAGAGTATACATATTTAAATATATTAAATCACTATATATTCATTATGTTAACATAATAAAGTTTTACCAAAAAAAGGCAAAAACAAAAAACCAACAACATCTATGTTTTCCAAAACAAAATATAGTGAGTAGAATGACATTGCTTTACATTTTTATAAATCTTTTTAATGTTAGGCTCAATAGGAGATAGCTGGGTCTTGTTTTCAATCTGTTTACAAGATATCATGTCTTGCAGCCTCCAGAAAATTTCACTGTATAGTTATAACAGATTAAAAGAGAAAAAGGCAAATAAAGTCTTATAACTTTTGAAAAAAGTTTTAGCTTTGTGGTGCCCCTTTAAGGGTCTTGGGAACCCTCCAGGAATCCCTGGTCCACACTTAGAGAACCACTGATCTATGTCCTTATTTATTTTTTTGACTCATTGTTCTATCATCAGATGCTGAAAGAGAGGTATCAAAATCTCCTATTATATTGTGGAATTGTGTACTTCTCCAATTTTTCTGTAAATATTTCCTTTATGTATTTTGAAGCTTTGTTATTAGATTCATATTAACTTATGATTATTTTGTCTTTCTGAGTGACACTTTAATAATTATGAAATATCTTTCTATCTTTCTTGATCTCTGGTACTACTCTTTCTTTGTCTTGAAGTCTACTTTATCAGATGTTAATAAAATTACTCTAGCCTTCATGTTCTATATTGGCACAGGATATCGTTATCCATGCTTTTTTTTTAAAGATTTTTATTGGGGAATTGGGGGATGGGAACAGTGCTGGGGAATTGGGGGAAGAGGAGCAGACAAGTTGCTGTTGTTTTCTTCTTCAGTCTTGTTGTGGAGGACGTTGCTTCACTGGCCCAAGTTGGCACCATCATTGAGCTCTTCCCGGGCGAGGCAGATCAGTCGCCGGCCTCTGGACGGCCGCTCACTGCGGCTGCTGGCCGCTCATGATGGCTGCTGGCTACATACGGTAGCCCATGGCAGCTCACTGCCACAGGGGCTGCAGCCTACGCCGTCGCAGGCCACTCATGGCAGCCCAGCTCCAGGTTGAGCTGTTGTTCAGCATCTTAGCTGTGGAGGGCAGTGTCACTGGCCCTCATATGTGGGATCCGAACC